ATTTTTCATCTCCTGTATGTAGCATTCATTTTTAACAATAAAACTTTTGTTCAATTTGTTGTAGTTTCAAAACTATAACAGATAACAGTTTTGATGCATTTTATTGAGGTCACTTACGAAGTTGAATCATGTCCCGATATTTTAATTCTGCTGTTATTTGTTTAAGCCAGAGTGGTTTTTATCTTATACATTTCCATGTATTATAAATGAACTTGTTACTTAATCATCAGTTTCAAGAGAGAGATTAACCAACTAATAATCAAGGTCAATACCACACCACATCTAATAGGACTTTCCTATGGTACTCCAACGAACCTCCCGGGTTATGGAAGAACACGGGATTGAATGAACAGAGAACTTGATATACACCTACCTAGTTTGATATATGCCGGGCATAAGAGAGCCTCCACGCACTAGGTACATAAGCTCTCTGGAGGCGAGTGCGCGGCGGATTGCTCGAGTCAGGCATAATATGAACCAGCACTGAGAGAGCGAGACAACTCAACAAAACAAGCCCATCTGACTCCTACTAAAAAATAGAAAGAATTACGTTCGGCCCACTAATAATAATATCGAAACAATTAGCCAGGCATGGTGGCGCATGCTGTAATCCCAGCTACTTGGGAGGCTGAGGCAGGATTGCTTTGAGCCAGGAGTTTGAGGTAAGCTGTGAGCTAACGCTGACCGCCACGGCACTCAGGCAACAAAGCAAGACTCTGTCACAAAAAATGTTTGAAATGATCCTGTTAATAAAGAGATGTAAATTGAAATGAGATCAGACATGTCCAAAACAACAAGAGACTGAGAAGAGTGTATTTCAGTTTATCATTCATTTGAGAGAAAAGTATCTCTGAAGGCAATGTGATATGATCACATGTACTATAAAATGATCAATCTATCTGACATGGTGAGAGTCCTCTTAGGAGAAAATAATCATGTACCTATGACTAAATAGAATAAAGCCAAAACGGAAAAAAAAAAAAAAAAAAAAAAAAAATCAAACCAAAAAAAAAAAATGAACGAATACACAGAACGAATAAAAAAGCCAAACCAAAACAGACTCGAAAAGCAACAAACAAACCAAACCCCCACCAACTCACAAAGAACCGCCAAACCCCCAAAAAAACCTACCACAACATGCTAACCCACAGCCAAACCACCAGAAAAGAGCCAGAAACTCCCAACCAATCGCAAATCCTGTAAATACCAAAAAAACAACAAACAAAACCCGCAAAAACAAAATCCAAAAAGAATAGAAAACAAAAAAAAAAACAAATAAAACAAAAAAAAACGTAACAATCAACTAAAAACAAAGCCATGCATAAAAAAAAAAAAAAAAAAAAAAAAAAAAAAACAAACAAACAACATACCACAAAAAAACAATCACCAGCTCATCCAATCATAACAGCCACCCCTAGACAAGGCCACATAGAACCAACTAGAAAAAAAGAATAAAGAAAAAAGACATACCTCCACTAACAATACACTAAACACCTCTCCCACCCTAAACATCATAAATACAATCCAAAAAAAACAAAAAAAACACAAACAAAAAAATAACAAAGCAGATCAGGACAAAACGAAAAAAAAACAGAAACAATAAATAAATCACCACTCCAATAATAAGCAACTGGATAAAACAACAACTCAACCATAACACAATCAAAAAAGAAAACCCAAAATAAAAACATAAAAAACGTAAAAACACCACATCAGACTACAAAAAAATATTATACCATAAAACATCACAAACAAAAAACTATCCCACAACCCAAAACATACCAAGAAAACTAGCCAGCACAACACAAACAAAATACTCCTACACCAGAACAACACCAGCTGACCATCCAAACCACCCTGGAAAAACTCGAAAATTAACAATAAAACCCCCAAAAAACAAAAAAAAAAAAAAAAAAAAAAAAAAAAAAAAAAAAAAAAAAAAAAAAAAAAAAAAAAAAAAAAAAAAAAAAAAAAAAAAAAAAAAAAAAAAAAAAAAAAAAAAAAAAAAAAAAAAAAAAAAAAAAAAAAAATTTAACAATAACAATAAAATATAATTGTATCAATTGTTGAATAGTAATACATAAAACAGAATACAGAAAATTTATAATAGATGATTATATATTGAGGTACACAATATAACAGACATTGAATCATGATCGAATATAATTAATTCATAAGAGACAGATATATAAATATGTTAGGACAAGAGTGGTATTCACTATATAATTCAATAGTAATAATAAAAAAAACTTTTACTTAATCATCAGTTTCATTTTTTTTTTTTTTGAGACAGAGTCTCGCTTTGTTGCCTAGGCTAGAGTGAGTGCCATGGCGTCAGCCTAGCTCACAGCAACCTCCAATCTCCTGGCTCAAGCAATCCTTCTGCCTCAGCCTTCCAAGTAGCTGGGACTACAGGCATGTGCCACCATGCCCGGCTAATTTTTTTATACATATATATATTAGTTGGCCAATTAATTTCTTTCTATTATATGTAGAGACGGGGTCTCCTCTTGCTCAGGCTGGTTTCGATCCTGACCTCCGAGCAATCCGTCCTGCCTCGGCCTCCCAGAGA